TATTTACATCCATTTGGAATAAGGGCCATGCATTATTGATTGCCACAGACAACAATACCCTCACTGTGTTCATTTTGGCAACAGGAGCAAAGGTCTCCTTATAGTCAATGCCATAGGTTTGAGTAAAGCCTTGAACTACTAACCGTGCTTTGTGTCTGTCAATGCTTCCATTGGAGTTGAATTTGGTCTTATATATCCACCTACTTCCCACGACCTTCTTGCCATTTGGAAGATCCACCACACTCCATGTCTAGTTATCATTCAGAGCTTGAAGCTCTTTAGTCATAGCATCTTGCCACTCAGGCATGCATATGGCTTCATGAAAATTCCTTGGTTCGAAAGTGTGGGACAATTTGTTAAGGAAAGAAGTATGAGAAGATGAGAATCTGTGATAAGAAATGGCTGCAGATAGGATGCCTTGCAGTGTAAGTAACATACTCTTGTAACCTCACTGGTGGATGTCTATCTCGTGTAGGATTTCTTCTTGGTGCACGTATAGCTTGCTGATTTGGTTGAGCTTCTGATGGTCCAGAGAAGCTTGGCACTGCATCAATTACGCTTTCAGTGAGTTGAGAATTACTAGTGCTGATATGAGCAGGAGTGACTTCATGAATTTCTGTTGGAATAGGTAGTGGAAATAGGTCCATAAGATCTTCCATATTAGCATTAGTCTCCACCCTTTGTGGAAATAAGGTGAATATTCATCAAATCGCATATCTCTAGAGACTGCCAGCTTCCCCGTGTTAGGGTTGTACACTTTGTAACCCTTTTGAGAACTGGCGTATCCCATAAACACACATTTGGCAGCTCGAGGGTCGAGTTTGTCACGATGGAGAGCTTGAATGTGCACATAACAAGTACAACCAAATGTCCTAAGGTGAGACAAGTTTATAGGCCTGCCATTCATGACTTCAAAAGGAGATTTAGTATTCAACACCCGAGTTGGTAGTTTATTAATGATGTACGTGGCAGTGAGTAGGGCTTGAGACCAAAATTTCTTAGGAACATTCATTTGGATCATAAGTGATCGAGTCTTTTCCAATAAGTCTCGATTCTTTCTCTCTGCCACACCATTTTGTTGTGGTGTACCAACACAGCTAGTTTGATGCAAAATGCCATGATTGCTCAAGTAATTACTCATGTTATTGGAAGTGTACTCGGTACCATTATCTGATCTTAACATATATAACTTAAATGAAAATTGATTGGTGATTAGGTTGTGAAAGTCCTTAAAAGCATCAAACAAATCACTTTTAAGTTTTAAAAGATACAACCAGGTTACTCTAGAATAGTTATCAATAAATGTAACATAATATCTATACCCATCAAAGAATTCTACACGAGAAGGACCCCAAATATCAGAGTGAACAAGCTCAAAAAGTTTACTAGTTCTAGAATTAAAGGAAACAAAAGGAAGTCTAGTGGTTTTTGACATTTGACAAGTTTCTCACTCCAGTGTGTTTTTACAAAAAAAGGGAAACAACTTGGTCATGACATGTTCTGAAGGATGGGCAAGGCGTTGATGCCAGAATTGGTGTTCCTGAACTTGACTTAAGTTGACACTGATCTTTTTAACAAAATTGGACTCCTTTGAGAGATAGTAGAGTCCATTCAAGAAGTACCCTTCACCAACCTTCTTCTGAGTAACTCGGTCTTGAAACACAACACTGTGAGGGGAAAATATGGCAAGACAGTCTAAGGTTTTTATGATTTTTCCTATTGACAAGAGCTGAAAAGGAAAAGAAGGTACATAGAGAGCAGTGGAATCAGTATGCTCACTTAGCAATCTAATCTTTCATTTCCCTATAATAGGTTCCCCTTTCCTATTTGCAACAGATACATGAATTGGATCAATAGTTCTTTGAAAATCGTGGGGACTAGAGGGTTTATTAGTTATATAATCAGTGGTACCAGAGTCAATAATCCAAAAATCATATGTAACATTTGCATTAAGAGCAGTGGAAATGGCACTGATAATACTTGGAATATTGCCTTTCGATGTGTTCTCCGAGTCAGCCAAGAAACCAGCAAATTTCCCTAGCATTGCAGTAGGGTTTTCAGGTGTCATTTCATCAGGTTCAGTGCTTCCTTGCTTCTTTTGAAGAAAAATAGCAAACTCGTTGATCAATGACACATGATTTGTTGAGAAATTGGTCATCTCATCAGTTGAGGAACAAGTTGAATGAAATGCTTTTGGAGTGACTCCACCCTTCCCATCTTTGATCATCCTGCCTTCCCTATCAAACTTAGGCTTTAACTTCGAATGAAGAATCCAACATTTTTCTCTCAAATGTCCCTTCAAGTTGCAATAAGAACATTTCCAGTCTGCCTTCTTGCCAAGCACCCTATCACCAGTTGCTTTGTGATTTGTCGTGAAAACCCTAGCTTCAGAGTTGGATTTGGGCTCAACGTTCATCACTTTTCATCGAGTTTCCTCTCTCTGGACTGCATGACACACACTGGTAAAAGAGGGCAGCTCTTGAGTCATTACCAAGTGACTACGCATGTCTTCATACTCCGCTCCCAAGCTTTCTAAGAGTTGAAACACCTTGTCTTCATCAGCCTTCTTCAGTAGCACATCGGAATCAGTCGTGTGTGGACGATACATATCGAGTTCATTCCACATGGATTTCATACTTCCAAGGTGTTGAACAAATGAGTGATCACCTTGCTTTAAACTAGCCACACTCTTCTTCAGTTGAAAGATGCAAACTGAGTTATTTTGGCTGCCATACATATCTTTGACAGACTCCCATAGAAGAAGGGAAGACTCTGAGTAGCTGAAAAGCTCAGACAGTTTTGGCTTCATGGAGTTAAGTAACTAGGACATGACTAGCTGATCAGTAGCATGCCATGCATCGTAAGTTGGTGAAGTGGATTCTAGGGGCTCAGGGCTTCAATTGATAAACCTTAGCTTCGATCTTCCTCCTAGAGCAAGTGACACAGCTCTTGACCAAGGAAGGCAGTTGAACTCGTTCAGTAGCATCGAGCAGAGTTGTTGATTTTGATTGTTCTCAATCCCTTGGTTAAGTTTGGGGAAGAGGATGAGGCATTGTCGGCACTAGACACATTTTCTTTTGCCATCTCTATCGATGATGAGCAAATGAAGAAGTAAAAAAAATGAACAAAGTCAGGACCTTATGGTTCCTACTCTGATACCATGTTGAGTTTTGATTTCAATATTTGTTGTATATTTCATTATGAAGATTACAAGAGAATGAATGCAACTCTTATAGATAGCCAAAAGAAAGCTACAATAGATTGTAGGATAACTACACAAACATAATCCCTAAAATCTGCCCTAACAAGTGGAAAAACAAAAACCAAATTACAAGTAAAGAAGCTTTTACAAGCAACTAAGAAAGGTTGATGTAAAGTGAATGACAAGCTATGGAAAGTGATTGGTGAATGACAAGCTATGGAGAAAGGTTGATGTAAGGTGAATGACAAGCTATGGTGAGGATGACAACTCATACATACAACTCATCCATACAAACCGGTTTCAATATACATCAACCAAGGACGAAACGAAGACCCTCCTCAACCATAAAAGAAGACCATTCTTCTACAATTAATCCTTAATGTCATTATTGTACTTAAACTAATCATTAGAACCCACTAGTGATGAGAACTCCTCTACTTTGTGGACGTAGCCAAACTTAGGATGAATCACATACATCTTGTATTTACTTTTCTATCTCTATATATTTACATATTATCTTCACTAGGTGATCGAATCAATTGAGCAAATGTTACAAACTTAACACTTTACGTTGTTCCAAAATCTCGCTAACGTTATTCCAAAATCTCGCTGATTTTGTGCATCAATAAAAACAAAGAGTAAATCGAAGAGTAAAAATGTAAAGAATTTGTAACTCAGTGAGTCGATTAAATTTACACGTACATTTCGCGTGTTTGACTTGATTCTCTTTCCTAATGTGGTTTATCAACCTAGGTGTCATCTCAAAACAACTTTAGGCTCATCCACTATGATTGTTGGTAGAGCAGCTGTTGCCTATTCATTCTTCTGTGTTCATCTAAGAACGACGTCAAAAACAATGTCATTTGATGGATTCAACTATAATTTATGATAAATATTATATTAAGGATGAATGATATCATTTTGGACCTTCAAACACGTAGAATGTGAGATATTGAGAAATTTAGTTGAGAGAAGTTAAAAGTATTTTTTTAGCACTCGAAATTCTATGTTCGGTTCTCTCATTCTGAAATTTGATTGTTGACAAAAATTAAACAAAGAAGTTTGAGCAATATGGCAATATGCATCTTGAATTGAAGTTTGAGTAGAAACCAAGAAACAGTTGGAAAAACAGTTGAGATAAAGAGGTCAAGTTGGCCGCTTTATTTTGTCTTTTCATTGAAGTTAAGCAAAGCGTACTAAAGCGACAAAGAAGCATATTCAATTTGGATATATTTCGGTATTCTTGCATGCATTGCAATTGCATCATCAAATTCTGCACTCAAATTACAAATACACTGGCACCCAAGACGTACGCCTTCCACTCTCTCGGAGTATATTCTGAGTTCAAAACTCATAAAAAGTTCCGTCAGAGCATATTATGCGCTCAAATTTCATGAACGAGTGTTGTCTCTATTGAGTTGCCTGCGTCGGAGTACGTTTTTCTCCTCTCCGACCAAATTTCGCCGTTCACTCAAAGTGTTTGGGTTGGATGCAAAACTCATTTCATCCGTTTATCGAATTTGTGGCATTCATTGGACATTTCTTTGTATTCATGCAATGCAAGCACCCCACTCTCGTATCCCTTTCAGCATTTAAGGTCCTCCAAATGGTTTCACCAATCACAGCCCCCGTGCCATCACGTATTTTGCCCCTTTTGGACCTCAACCTCACAAGATTCACGATTACGACACGCTTCCTTTTAAATTTATCCCAAAATATCTACAGATCAGATTCTTCTGGGAAAACAACGTAAAACTTTCAACCACAGCCGCTCATCTGCCTAAGAATTAAGAAATGATAAGTTTTGGTCTCTTTTGTATTATACAGGCTACAATTTCATGCTTAAAAATCACATCCAAATGTATTTGGACGTAAATTATACTCCGACCAACTTTGATCGAAGAATTATGTACATTATGATAGTTCATCTCGGTCGTCTCCACGGCGCTCATGTAGCCGAAATTCACCTTCTCCCTCATGATGAAATGCAAAAACCATAACAAACCAGAACCAGATACCATTGATCAATGTGACCTTGATCAAAAACTCGACCATCGCATTAGAACATTGAAACATTATTTGCATCCAACGCGTTCTCCCACTACTTCATGCATTATGTTCCATGCTAATATGCCAATACATGAACTTAACCAGGAATGATGTAAATCCTTCCTATTTTCCACGGGATATGCATATTAGAGAGTTTGGGGATGTCGTTAGTACATTTTATAACCAACCTGATGCAATTGATACCATAAAATAATAACAAACTCTATTCTCTTTAAATGAAAACAACAGTTGGTTATATTCTTTGAGGGCTAGGTTTACACGTAACACGTTCTTGAAGTGAGATGACTCGCGCATTTTTCATAGATATTTTCCAAATCATAAGACAATGGCTTTAAAGAGAATAAATAAAAATAGAACCTGCCTTGTTCTGTTCTTTGTTAACCCTTTTTCTCCTTTTCAGTCGTCAGCCTTTTTGCCACCAACTACACTATTAGATGAGCTATCCTGTACACTACGAGAAGAAGAACATCTACTTGACGAACTGCCTTCTCTGTTTTCCAGCCTCGCTGACTTTTTAGATTTTCTTCGTACTGATGACAAATCCTACAAAACAATGAAGTTAGGTAAACGAGGACTGCCATTCCCAAAAAATGTAAAATGAAACCAACAAGGTCCATCGTAATTGCGTTAAAATGATTGTATAGCTTTATATCTTTCACAAAACAACTTAACATTAAAAGGCTACAGCTAACCTGATCCGAAGTAGATCCAGGAGTCTTCAACTCTAGTTCTGTCGTGACATCGATTGAATCCTCACTTTTGTGAACCTGGCTCTCCCCGGGTGATTTGTTTATAGCATCTTGTTTGCCTGAAACTTGAGACTGGCTTCCTGGATGCACTACTGGAGATACATATTGGGTGGACTGCTGCTCAACCAGAGTATTAGGAGTAATATATGGAAGATAAGTTGAGCAGGGGTTCGGAATGACCCCAGGATTCTGGTTTCCGAAATAATGGTATGGCTGCATATGTGGATGCATGGGCATTGGTCGTGGAGGCATTTGCATGGGCATTGGCATTGGCATTGTCATCGGCATTGGATATGGATATGAAGGTGGGGCCATTACAACTGAGTGATCCATAGCACCCCAAGGGAACATAGTCCTGAGTCTCTGCTGATACTGAGCATTAAGGTCCTCGATGTCAGATTTAAGAGATGCCTTCTCTTCTCTAAGGTCATTTTTCTCATGTGTCAACTGTTATTAAAATAAAATAGTGATTAGGTTCCAATAAATGAATCCAACATATCTGGACATAATTCACCAGAGTATAGAGATAATTACTAAATCACCTCACGAGACTCTTCGGTTAGAGAAACACACTCAGATTTAAGTTTGTCTACTTCTAATGTCAAATCCTTCAGCGCTTGAATTGTGTCCGCTATAATGGTTGCTTTGTCATTTTTGGGTCTGTCCGGATCTGCATTTTACACACGTAAATCAACACAAAAGTATGCGCTACTCATGTCTCCAGCAAGGAAAGAAAAAATGAAAATCCATAAGTGTGCATCATACTAAAAGTTATGGTAGTTATGCAGGAAGCATAAAGAAGTTCATCGGTAAGATATAGTCCCCCATCAATCTGGCCCAAGTTTCCAACTTCTAGATCATGCTCCCCAAACTAGAGTTCAGAGCATAGTTAACTTGACTCAGGTTTCTCATTAGAAACTTTATCTTAGAAAGATACTAGTTATCCAAAAGGGTCAGATGAAAATTTCAATGACAAATACTTCTCCGCATAGCACTGACTCCAAAAAAAAAAATGCGATACAAATGTACTAAGAAAATGAAGCATTTCTTAGAACTTAGAAGGCTGTTCGCATAACCAGAAGAAGGAAATTGATCAGACATGCAGTGAACTGCAGAACACAAAACTTTCATATGCAAATCTATAAAGAGTAGGGGGTTAATAAATGTGTGCCACAATTCGTATATGGCACTCAGCTCTGTAAGGAAACTCAAATATAAGTAGTCTATCTATACATACTTCACTATCACGAAATAATACAAAAACAGAATTTGACGATAGGCTATAGCAATACTCATCTGGACTGAGTTACAGATATCAAAGTATCAAAATCTCTATCTATGGTTATCTATGTCATAGCTGAACTTCATCACATTATGAGGCATTCGGAAAAGAACCGGTTATTAGTCGATTATTGATAGATTCACAACAATTAAATAGTTATTTTTATATAGTGCTAAGCTCACCTAGGACATTTCCCAACTCAAGAAACTGCTCATTTAGTCGATCCCTCCTCAACTTCTCCCGGTCAGCCTTCTGAATCTTTCTAGCAGTTAGACAATCCTTAACTTCCCCCTCAGGCCTTTGGCTGCAAACAGTAATCAATCATGATACTTTAACATACATTGATAACAAGATAACCCACCAATAATCTCACTGTACCCCGAAAGTCAACTCATGAAAAGGCTTTTTTTTGCACACATTCATTTGCTAAGTGGGTTCACAACAGAGAAGTTGCACACAGCAAAACACACAATAATCCGTTAAACTAGCAAGCGAGGGGCTTGTAGCTCAGTTTGTTAGAGCATTCTCCCTCGCAACCGAGGTCCCAAGTTTGAATCCCCATTACAACCAAAATCTTAAAAAATGTGTTTAGCACGGTAATTAAGCAGAATGTAAGCAAACCCTTTTTTTTTTATTTTAAAAAAAACACCATTTGGACTGGAAAGCAAAAGTTATTGAAAATTAGCTCAGCTAGAAACAAACCCAGAAAAAGATAACTATATATTTCTAATTTTCAACATTTAATCTGATGCTGCTGCGATAAAAGGGCAACAAACATAAATTTTCATAAACATAATATATATATAGGATCTGGAATCGTAAAGGGCAGGACGAACCTTGAATTGGGTTGGGAGCGAGTGGGGGGCAGGCGGCGATCGGAAGCGGGCTGCGGAAATTCGTCGGCAAATGAGAACGGAGGCTGCGCGGATTGGTTGAAGTTTTCGTGTTTGAGCTGATCCATGAGAGAGAGAGAGAGTCTGTCTACATGGTGGAGGAAGTAGATGAAGAGAATTGAAGGCAGCACATTGTTTTCAGGTGTCGTGTCCAAATGCAATTTGTAACGAGCGAATCTTATCTGCCAGAACGTCGTTTTTTTGCTTCTCTGGTGACAGACTCGCAGTCGCCCGGTGCCACCGGGCGTTTGACTCCCTTTTCTTCTTCTTTTTTCGCATAATTTTTGCTTTTTTTTTTTTTAACAAATGCATTTTGGTAATTTTGTTACAAAGCAAAATAAATATAAAATTATACACAGGAAACTGATAAAATTATATTAACTTATATAGATATTGTACCGAGATTTTCTGTAATAAAACTTTGAAACTTGACTTGGTATGCGTGATAAAGTTCAAGTTTTAGAATAATATTATTGTAGTTAAAGTTTTTCACGATAGTTTGAGTGAGTGTGGTACCTATATATGGAAATGAGGTAATTTAATACTTATATGCTATTTTTACACTAGCGTAAATTCAAGTTACTGGTATACCAGTCATGAGTTTAATACAATGGTATTAATTCATGAGTTTAGTATATCATTATCATACTTAAATTATTTGGCCCACTGTAGAAATGTAGCTTCTATATGAGTTCAATACAATGGTATTGTACTCACTTTTTTTCTCCTACTGTGGAAGGCCTAATAGTGTGTATTTCAAACAATACTTTTTACCAATTTACTATAAGATGATTCTATTATAAGAATCAAGAATTCAAGGGTGAATTTCATAGAGTTTTTTAATTTTCTAAAATTCTCATAAAAATTATCTATTTCTAAAATCTATTTATTAAAGAATGTATTAAACTAACAATCAATGAACTCTCTCATGAAATTAAAAAAAAACTTCATATTTAAATATTTTCAATGAGGTTATGAGTTCAAATGTATAGACAACTTTTTTTTTTATATAACAAAAAGGATCTTTTAGTTTAAATATTAATTTTAAGATTATTTTAAACTAAAGTATTATTATTTTAGTTTAGGTAATGGGTCCACGAATGTCCCGATTGATTGGGCTGGGGTGGAGAAGGATTTTTGAGTTATGGGGGATCTAATTGCCCAATTGCTTAGGCAATTGGGATAGGGTGGAATTGCTCTAATGGAAAAGTCAACCAAAATAGCTTATACATACTATTATAACTTAATATAATTACATATAATTGTCACTTAATTCTACCAAGGTTTATGACCGGCCAACGTTTTGGCGACCGATCAATCCAATTTTTTGGCCCGCGGCCAATCCAATTTTCCGATCTCAATATCATTGTTAAAAAATGACTTTAAAAAAAAAAAGTTAAGTGATGAATTTTTTCATACGTAGCTAATTTATGTTGTGCATACATGTAAACAAAACAAAAAACTTACACAACAAAACATAATTCAAGATGTTTAAAGTTGAACATATTACTATTTTTTAAGTCACTGTTGAGCATTGATATGAAATTTTCCAGCGACCCAAAATTTGGTATCGGTGCCGGTGGCATATGAGTTATGTTATTGGAACAAAAATGTAAGAGCCCGTTTGGTATCTTACTTAAGAACTAAACTCAAAATTTTTATTTTCTCTAAAAACTCATGTTTTGATTTAAAAAATTTAAATCCAAAACCTTGTTTGGTATGCTACATCTCAAACTAATCAAAATTTCTACCATGCTCATTCAAAAAAGAAACAAATTTGAACACCTAGGTCCAACGTTGATGAACTCATTGTTATCATCTCTCTCACTCCAACCTTCATGCATATATGAAATTTTGATCTGAAAGCTGAGTTATTTCGTACTAAAATTGATTGACTGAGAAGAAAAATGGGACCTGCTGCTTTTGAGCGAAAGCTTCCAAGTGTGTTCAGAAAGTGGTAAGATACTCCTTCATGAGATCGGTTCTGATCTTGGCAACATTCTTGCCCAACAGACGATATTGGTCCTGCAAATAAAGGATGGCTTTGGGTTGGATTCCAGGACTTGATAGTCGAAATCAATGAATCTCCGTTCAGGTTCCGACGTTCGATGTGGCTGCGCCACTGGTGATTGGTATGGGGGATCCAATTAATGCGACAGATCAGAGAGAGGATGTAAGAGGCAAGAAGGAAGAGAGGGGATTAGGAGAGAGACATGAGAGAAGATCCAAAAAGTCTAAAAACACACTTTTTGTGTTTTCAACAAAAAGGCTTTGTTTTGAAAAAAAGTTTGAGTTGTGGTTTTGAGAATTGGATCCAAATCAAATACCAAACAAGAACTTTAAAATTGTGACTCAAAACTTGTTTTTGAGTTAAAAAATTGGATCCAAATCAAATACCAAACAGACCCTAAATATTCCTATACTTATAAATGCACTGGCCACAAATTATAGCTTTATCCAACTTAAACAGGATGAGGATGGTATAGTTTTCCTTAACATCTGTCTTTAAATTTGAATTTGCCTAATAAGAAGTATATATGTCCAGTCTCAACATAAAATGTGACGCCCCATATTCGTGGGTGCAAAACTCTACTCCGTCCTTGGTGCGCGAATAAATAAATAAAAACAAAAATAGACGGAGGACTCAGTTGAAAATAAACTTCTCTTATACAAATAGCTCCAAAAACTTTACAATTGTACAAAATAAATAACAAAACTCTATCTCTCTTGTCTTACACAACCTCAACTTGTCTAGCCCGTCATACAGTTATATTCCTATGAAAAATTAAAGGGTGAGGGGTGAGGAACAACCATTGTTTCCAATAAATAGAATATGTAATATGATAGTCAAGCGATAATGTTTACTCACACTTGAAAATAATATAATTATCAAAAGCTTTATCACATATCATGCCACATAATTCCACATCACATCATTCATTCACGTGTTGATTATCCTTCATCTCCGTGCCCCATACATTTATCTCTCAGATGACCCAACACTAAAATTCTCATGCTCCATGAACAGTCTCAACAATTCACATAATGTATTTATATATACACCTCAAAATGATACACAAAATCAAACATGCTTAACTTGTAAATAAAGAGATATTTAAAAAAAAAGAGTAAAATCTGATGATACTTCATGATTTTCATTTATTACAAAATAAGGAGTTTACTAAGACACTACATAAACCAACCTCGATCAACAACTAAAACATTGGCAAAACAAGTCCACTAGCAATCTCCATGCCTCAAACCTTAGCGTTCTCTTTCTTCTCTCTCTCTCTCTGTGTATGTAACATAATATATACAAATATTACGCATTGCAAGACTACTACTGTACATCCATGCAACGTGACTAAAGATTGGCATAAATAATAAATAAAAGGGAAAATTAGGTTCACATCCTTATATTTGTTACTCCATTAATTAAAATCTTATTCATTTTCAATTTTTGATCAAGGTCCTTGGGTATTAATAACATCATTAATTATTTGAATGATAAAATATTATTATTTTTAAATATATTCCTTTAATGTTAAAAATGTTACAATTAGTATATTTATATTTATGGTTAAAATGTTTATCATATATTTTTATTTTTAGTTTGTACCTATTTTTAATTCAAATATTTTTTAATTTGTACCAATTTTCTTTTAATTTTTAATCTGTACCCATATATTAGTTTCTTTTTGTGCCCATATTTTTTAAAGTTTTATTTGTATTTGTACCCATGTGTATACCGTCATGTGACATTGTATTTTTAATCAATGATAGAAAAATTACATATGGTATATTTATGTTTTATGCCTAAACTTTGTATCATATATTTATATTTTTAGTTTGTACCCACTTTTAATTTGCAACATTTTTTAAAAATTTTGTAGTATTTTCTTTTTAGTTTTATTTTGTACCCATGTATTAATTTCTTTTAGCGCCTATATTTTTTAAAATTCATTTGTATTCATAATTTTTAATCTTTTATATGTACCCTAATTTATTTCAAATGTACCCATTCTTCCTTATTAATGTACCACTTTGTTATTTGTTATATGTGAAATGTACCAATTTTTTTTAACACCATGGATACCTTCTTTTGCCACTTATTATTTCTTATTTTTACATAGTTTTTATCCATTTATTCAATCAAAATATTTGAATTTTTTTTATATTGTAACCTTTCTAATAGTATTATAATGAGGGATTTTAAATTTATAGGATTATAAATCTCATAAAATATCAAACAATTAATGTCAAAATTATAAAAATATTAATAGTAATATAATGAGGTGTACAAAGTCAAGGGACCTTGATCAAATTTTGAATACTATTAAGGTTTTAATCAAAGAATGTTAAGGATTAGGGACCGCATCCAAAATATCCCATAATAAAAATGTGAAATGGACTGCTATTTATAGAATTAAAAACAAAATTACGGCTACAACTTCCTGCTAATTGGTGGGCTTTGGCGGCTATAAAAAAGTTGGCATGAAGGTGCAAGTGTTGTTGAGAAGTCCGATAAGAATGTAACGCAAGTATAACAACTAAGCTAGGTGATAGTGTTGCCATAAAGTGAAGTTGTCAAATGCATGGCTCAAATGCTACTCAGTATAAAATTTAGTGGCATTCTTATTCATTTATAAGTGAGAAGTATTAGATTCAAATCTCATGGATGACACATCCGATACCAAATTAGGTTGCTCATTGTGTGACTTAACCTAACTTCCCCTCCATTTAATGTAAAATATACCGTTGTGCTAAAAAAAATGCATGGCTCAACTGGAGGACACGTCCACTAATTAACTTCCTATAATCATCAAAATAGAATGCTCATTCTATTTCAAGATATGAATGAATTGCATTGCTAAATGAAAATAGGTAGAATTGTTTTTCAAGCACAAAGGCATCACGGGGAAACCCCAAGCCAAAGCTAGAAGATAATATGTATATATAAGAAAATCCAATAAAAAGTCTTTTTAAATGATAACTAGCTATTTTACACATGTTATGCATGACACACCCCGACCTAGATCGAGGCATGCTGGCCGTCACGTGAAGGTGACGTAGCCATGTGCACAGTGTGGAAGCAATATTACTATATGAAATGCGAATAAATAAAAACCAAACTAACTAGAGCACTAAATAAGATAAGGTGAAAGACGAGAATAAGTGTGACTACACATAACCAGAGTGTAGGTATCTTAGGTGCAGTCCAGCAGGACAATTACTAATTATACA